ATATAATATGTTGCCACTCGCCAAAATTTACACAATGAAATTAAGTCGGAATTTCAAAACAATTCATCTTTTCGAGAGATCTCTTCCTTATGAGTTTTCTCATGAGTTCTTTGAATGGAAACTGACTTGTTTCAGCATTTAAAAAATGAAATACTGTTTAGACAACAGACAATTTTTTTAAGACCCAATGAGAATATCACCTCCATGTGACCGAAAACAACAAGTTTCTATTCTGAGGAGAAAATGGCTTATGTCCATGATTCAAACGTTCATTCTATATTTTATCAGAGGCTTCAAAAATATCATTTAAAGAATTGTTTAGTTAAAACATGGTTACATAATCGAAGAGCAGTTGATATCATACAAGCAATAATAGATAATGAAAATGATCTGTTTACTGTATGTCGAGCTAGTGGCAAACGTACTAAAGTGTTAGAAATTTACTATTTCAATGACGAAAAATTCAATCATTTTTCAAGTACTGTTGGCATTGATCAGATAATTCAAAATAATATTCTACGAATAGTATTCGTGTTACAATTGAAAGATAACAAACAATCAAGAGTACCCAGAACAACGCAAACATCGAAACATGACGATGAACAAAGTGCAGATAGTAGAGTAAATACATTATCGAAACGTCAAAACAAGCAAGCAATACAATTTCAAGAAGAACTAATCGAAATGGTGAAGCATCACAATCAAGAAAATGGAATGATTTCTGTTACATGCAACAAAATTGTTACTATGGCAACAGACAAAAATCAACAACACATCAACATTTTTGGCTATTTCAAACTAGTCAATGATGTAGTACAACAAATTCAAGATTTACTGAACAAATATCGTTTAACAAAATATCAGTTGAATGAAATGACCTCAATGCAAGTAAGTATCATCTCTGTTTATATCAAGTACAACATCAGAGAGAGTGGAAAGAATCTTAATGCGTAAAGCGATTTTCAGTTGATATTTCACTCACAAGTAGATAACCGAGTGATACTTAATTGTCTGACTTTTGAACTCCCGTGTGATTCTCAAAACAAATTTGATTGTATCCTGAAAAATTCAGCTTCTAATGTTTTTGTTGAGAATCTGCACAGATATTACAATAGAAATACAATGTTCGAACATTGGCTGCAAAAAAAAACGAACTATTAGAAAGGAATTCCGAGAAAATGTATGCATTGTTAACAACATTGATGCAGTACATTCAAAATATTCCGATATATTCTATATAACGCAACATATGATTAACGGCATAGTATGAAAATCCTCAATTAAATTTCGCACGAATACTATGACTATGTCTGGAAAATTCTAAACTAAAATACTAGAACTAGAGTAGTCTTCGACATCCAGAAAGATTCATCTTTGCAAGTCAGCATATTACTCAGAGCCAGCTGTCGTTTCTATTCAGTACTTGCTGTTTATATAGTCTTAATGTTAAACTTTAACATGTCACTTTAATGAACGTTCAACGCAAAGTGGCAATCGCTAGTTTCATAATACGAATCATTTCGATCATACCTACAGAAAATTTTCGAGACATAGCTGACGCGTTGGAATATCAGGAGAACAATTAAGTAGAGGAAGGGAAGGTAAATATAGTTGTATGTAGACTACCATTGAGAAATGTTGTTATCGATTGCTATACGCTGAGCACAAGTGAGTAATTTCTAGCGTAAAAGGATAATTATCATTCTAGAGTTTTTCAAAGAAAAATACAGTCATACTAGTTCTAAGTCAGTCGTTTGTTTGAATGTAGATGAAATAATCATCTTGCTACTTGTGCAGTTTATAGTTTCAAGTTACGAGGCTTTGAAGTCTAATGACAAGAAGCAGAATCTACATTATTTGAAGAAAGTAAATTGTTGACAATTTGCAATATATCACCTCAAAGCATTGCTTGATACATATAGCGATATGGCACGACAATTAGGATTTCTTCGATCTAAAATAGTTAGAGCAATGGTGATTAAAAGTATACAAAACCACGTAAACTATATTAAAAATGAGCAAACGTTTACGAAGATTGGCATCATATAAGTGGAGCAGTGACTAGGGATCATCGACTCCGGTGAACGTGACAACAGACTAATAATTATATCAATCCTTGCATTTATACGATCCCGTATATCTCATCAAAGATATGATTGAGAAAAAGTCAGAATCATTTAGCATCCATAAAATATATGCCAGGATTGGAGTACGAAGAAAACAAGTTCACGCATACGAAAGCATTATTTTCCTTCTACGATGAAGCTCCTCATGGATCAATATAATAGTCCGTCTAAATTTTTAATTAAGGAAAACGTTTTTGAATTTGTTTTTTTTATTCAGATCGACTATCTTATAAATGTCTGTCGACCAGAATTGAAAGTGATTGAGAAAGAATTTCAAAACGATCGTGTACACTTCAATGTTCGACAACGTGCATTTAATGCACCACCACAATTGAAAGATGAAATTGAATCTCGGATCAACACTTTATTATCACACATAACAACGTGTACATTCAAAACAACTGAATTCTATTATGATATTGCCAATCGAGCAAGCTTAGTTGTTAAAACCATTGCTCAAAATAATCGTTGCAATTGTGATCTTAAAATCGAAACAACACTAAAAGCATGTACAATACCAAAAGCAATTGAAACTGCATCGACGGCTTATTCTGTTTCAAAACGAATAATTGAACAGTCCGATTTATTCTGTTCATCATCCATGGTTCACCGACAAGCAACATTAGCTAATGGATCATTTGAAGTTCTTATCGGCGATATAGCTGCACAAAAGGTTAGACAACTATCTGACAGATGTGAAATGAATCTATCACTTTTTCTTATTTCTCATTAGTAAAGTCGAAAAAGATTTGTGAAAGTTCTAAAAAATTAATGTATAAACATAATTATGAACGCTTCTTGATATGTACACTTTAGGTCGACACAATTGTTATTCCATCCGTATCATATGGATTAAAGGAAAGTCTTATTGAACGAGCTGGGGAAATTGTGCAACAACCATTGGAAAAAAGTGGCAAGAATTCACTTTCATTCATTACTGAAACAACAGCTGGTAGATTGTGTTGCAAAAAGATTCTATTTGTAAATTGGTCATTATCAGCAATGATGGTACCCATCAATGAAAATAGCTTACGTGAATCTGTGCGAAAATTCATATCGAAGGTCATTCAATATATTGTCATGGGAGATAAGCATTCGAATATGGAAACTCAATCAATTGCATTTGCAGTTCCTGATTCATGCAGCGACGAAAAAATTGTAGCCGAGGAAATGATCTATGAGACACAGCGTCAAATTCAATCCTTAAAATCAACATGTTTAAAAGTCTCATTCATTCTCTTACCTGACCAGCAAACGTTACATCAAGAATTTTTAACAGTAATTTCAACGATGGAAATAATTGATAATAGTTATGGAACTCTTTTTTATCCAACATCAAGTAAGATAGTGTTAAACTGCCTTTTGACTTTCTACTTGACATACTCATTACAAACAGTAACATCATTAGACGAATGTTTGTAGCTCTAATTTTTTTGTATTAAAAATTTCAGTCGTAGTGGAAATTCTAGTATTGTCGTCTGCATCTTTACACTTTATGATTTAGTCGTATGCTAAGCAAGTGTAAAAGAAGACTTTTTAAGGATTTGTTGGTAGGAGTGCATGTGAGGCAATCCCCAAATTCTGAAATAGCAAGAATTTTAGCGAGACACCTGTTGTTCAAAATCGACTTATTTTTTATAGTTTTGTGAAATTTTATTGTGCGTAGAAGACTACTTAGAAAAATACCATCATCTAGAGATGCTATTTCTGTGGTCTATTCCTAGGAATGGGGAACGCGAGATAGGTTCCCATTCTTGGAAACTAGAACACATAACAGTCTCCCATAAAAAGGTAGACGAAAAAGACGTATAGAAACCTGAATATATATAACGAATGCTAGAGCACACAGTCTGAGATATGAAAGGCATAAATTCATATGCAAGTTGATTATCATAAACATTATTAAAAAAAAAACATGTTTTCTTAAGTTGTTGCTTGATTAAATTCAAGATTCCGAAATATGGCTTCCAGGTTTCGAGAGTGAAATGCCTGCTGAGCTCTAGTTTCTGTTGCTCGTGATACGAGAATTTAATCTTCCTACAGTTTGATAGAGATCATACATGGAAGTTCAAGAATATGTGATAGTATCAACGATGATTATTTTGATTCAAAAGCTTTTCTTAAGGCTGAAAGATCCAAAAATATTGGATACAATCTGAATAAAATCTGTTCCGTCCTATAAATACAATTTTTTTAGTTCAATACATATCACATTCATCATACAGAGTGATGATGGTCTCGAGTTATTTCCTTGAAGAGTTCGATAGAGAATCGTTAGCTAATCGTGTTGAAAGTACTTTTTTGTCATTTGTTCTAGCTATTACAATTACACTGACATCATCAAAGCAAGAATATTTACTAAAGTGTCAGGAAAAAATAAGCAATTATTTGAAACGATGTATGGCTGAAGTAGAGTTGGATGGATTCAATGATTGGAATCAGTATTTGATCAATGCCTATTATAAATATTGTAATGATAGATGCATTTTGCCGCAAATTAGCAGTGATCAACGAATCAAACTAAAAGGTTCGATCATTGGTATACACGAAGCGAAACAAAAATATCGCCTGACAGTTGCACTAATTGAAGAAAAACAACACTTACAACAATTGTTATTTGAAACATCACTCCCGATGTCCACTATTCAATTTCTAACATCAGATCTTACAGCAACAGCTGAATCTTCCATATGTTATAATGTCATGCTAAGTTATTGCCAAGAGGACTCGGTTGCATGCCATCATTTAGCAAATCGTCTCATAGATGAAGGATTTTCCTTGTGGCTTAGCTCCAATGGAGTAAGCAATCACAGTGATACATTGTCTCAAATAGAGAAATCTGATTGCATTATTCTTTATATCAGTGAAAATTATTTTGAGGATGAACATTGTGAAAAAGAAGCAAAGTATGCCAGTCAAATTAGCAAACAAATCATTCCCGTCACAATTCAAAATTGCACACCAGTTGATTGGCTACAACAACTACTAGTGAACCGTTCATATTTTCAAATGTTCGGATCGGAAAAGCAGTTTGATCTAGTATTTGACAAATTACTGTTAGAAATAGTGAGTATCATGTGTTTTAATATTCCATTGAAAAATAGTATGTAGCATGAATATTTTTGGGTAGATTTTCAGGAATGAGAATGAATTATTTTTGTCGTTTACAATGCTTTGGAAGAAATTTGAACATGAAGAGCTTAAAATAGAATATTCTTGGGCTGAAATAAGACATTACTGGTTAGATTAGACTGAATGAAACTAAAAAATATAAACGGATTTAATGCTGCTAGACTTTTCTTTTTAATTAACACCTATTATTCAGCTTTAGACTTTATGACCAGGATACTTCATAAAAGTCAAATGTCTAAAATTCTGCCCGTAAATAAGTATGGTGGTTCATACAAACTCTTTTCCATTTTAGTATGAACTTCTAATGTCAAATTTGACAAAAAGGGCGAACATTTGATAGTTTTTCAAGAAATGGAATCTTCTTGAAAACTATGTACTTCTGAAAATCAATAAACATAGTTATAATTCAAATTTTCATGATAATCATTAGTCATTGATTGAAAGATTAATAATAAAGCTATTACTAAGAAAGAACAATATATCATCCCGGATCCTTCAAGCATTAGACTCCAACCGATGGGAAAACTTCATTTCGAACATGAATCAATGTTCATGGACGTTTTCTTATTAGTATAGCCATCGTTTGATTGAGCAGTTAACCATATTGGATATGTTTATATTTAAAGTAGAAGCTTTTAACGAAATTTCGTTGAAACTAAAGAGATGTTGATTTACTCCATCATCGTCACCATTGGCTGATTGATTTTCACTATTATTTATAAGCCACTATTTCATCTTTCATCAGAGATCTGTGTCCATGTAATTATGGATTTATCTGCAAATATAGTCAAACCTGTTATTTACATTATTTCATATGAAGTTTGACATCATTTTACTGCACGTTTTCTGAACTGGTTCCATTACTATTTGGTTTAATCACATCTAGAAAAGCAAAGGAACTACTATTTTCGCATGACGTTTATCAGTTTTTTTCACATATCTAAGTAGTTTTTTTTTCGTGTATGCGCACCCTTGTTTAGTAGTCAGCATAGAGAAATTCAGAGGAAGAACGCTTCGCAAAAAAAAACATGAGATGTTATGAAACGTTGTCCCTTGGGTACTTTCAATCGTTTTCTATTGTCGTGCTATTGTGTATGTGCATCGTGTATCATATCATAACTTTCATCTAATACATTTAGCAGCATAATTAGAGCTTCTGAAGTCAAACCAAAACTTTTCTAAGGGTTTTGTATCCATAGCGTCCATGGGCAACATAGAAGTCAGTGTGGATTCTGTGACTTTATTGATAACTTGGTTTGGTTAAGACTCTTCTGAATCATATTTCAACATTAAAATGGTTGAGTTTTATCCTTTTCATTGACTCTAAACTATTTTCTTCATGTGAGTCTCGTTTCATCTACAAACATAGTAAGTCATCTAAAATAGTACAAATAAAATTTTTCAATTAAAGTCAAATAATAGTTCGCGACTTTATATTGTATAATTTCGAATCAATATATATATTGGATATCATGGTATTGTAAAGTAATGAACGCTGTCAGTTTACTGAGAAAATTGTTGATTGTCATTCACAAACATCAGATCTTGATATATTTTAAGAACGCTAAGAATACATCATGATGAACTACATAATTAGTACTCAGACAGTATCAAGGCATTACAATGAGAAAATTAAATCAGACTAACAGACAGACTATTCAGGACATCAATGCACTTTTCACCATCTGCGCACATCTCGATGGCATCATTTACTTACATTCCAGTTTCAATTATTAGACACGGCTTTTTAAGAGATTTCTAATTATCGTGAGGTTGTAGAATTTTGTAAGAGGATCGTTTTTGGCGGTCTATAAGGACAAGAGGTTTGAACTTTTCGAAATATATACTGTGAAACAATATCTTTTGATCGTATTTCACAAAATTACTGGTAAATTTTCTATATAAATCACTTACATTTCTACCAGAGTACTTGTCCTTTAGTTACAATATACAAGTCCCCGTGACATTTCTCTAAAGCAGCAAATATCCAGTGGAACAACTATTTCGGCACAAAACCAAGTGGCTCTACATGATCGAAAAATTACAAAATTGCATAGTCCCCTAAGCGTTGAACAACGAAAATTAATTCATGAAATGAATATAGAACATTTGATTAGTTTGGGAAAACCGGAGATAGTTGAAGACGAAAAGAAAATTGTTCTTGAAAAAGCAGAAGTTGCTATACGCGAAGCGAAAGATCAGTACACAGAAGATGTGAGAAACGATCAATATGAACAATATTCTCCAAGTACATGTAAGCTTTTAAAAAATGTTTGCCTATTAGCTTATTTTACGCTTTCTATTTTGTATCGTATTCAGATAATCAAAAATATGAAAGTGAAAACAATGGAATGGAACAACAGATATGCTTAAATACTGATGGTGATATTAATAATGCATCATTGCTAATGTTGAATGAATTTCTGCAAAATCCAAAACTATCTCTTCGTCCCTATACAAAACAATCTTCACCATGGACAACTAATTCATCCACAAGTAATCTACAGGGTGTTGAGTATTTTGGACTTTTGCCTCGATCGTATTATTGTTCCTATGGAGGGTCGACTTTTTATTCCATGTACCATTCCAATGCTATGTCGAATCGAGCCATCCGCTATAGGACTTGGGGTATGTTGACTGAAGAAGAAATAAGACAACGGCAGCAGATGATTGATTCAAGCAATATGATCAAACGACGACAAGAAATTGGAAAATATTTTATGAAAAACTATAAATATATTACAGAAGAAAATTTGAAATCACATTTAGAATTTGCACAACGTATGAAAGATAACGCAAATGAATTGGCAAGATTATGTGAGATGAATATGAGTTTGATACGAGAACAATCAAAACAACAAATTCAACCATCTTTAACAGCTATATTTGCTTCATATACCGAACCTCAAGTGCAAGAAACATTAATAACAACATCGAAAAATCAAATTCCATCGAAGTTTTTGCAAAAATCGTATTGTAATTCGAACACACATTCCAAAGTGTATAGCAGAAAATCTGTCTTCAAAATTATTCTTTGAACGTGTCATATTCATAGTTAAACTCATTCGTTAAAAAGAATTTGAATTTCATCATGCACAAGATTACTACGAATGCATTTCACTAGAAACTCAATATATCACTGCAGATTCTTGCAATAAAGGATGTTGTTCGTTGTATTTTTTGAATAAATCGAGAACGATTACAACTAGACGATAAGTTTAGCACTAGGGAATGATCGATTCACATAAAGTTAAAGGATTAAAGTATTCCATCTAAGTCATGTTGTTTCTCAAAATTTTGTGAAGTTAGAAGCCATCTCAAAGTACTGTGGTCAATATTTTTCAATTAATACGATGGGTGACTCTCTCGAAGGCAACAAGATTCAAATATGAAATCGTGGAGGATGTGGGTCATGCGGAAGAGCAGACTCACACCCACATCCTTGGTATTCCATGTACAGACGGTTGTTGCAATTAGGTAGATGGTGGTTTCATTTCAGCAGTTCGTGAGAACTGAATGGAAGAACTGAATGACCAACTCAAATTCGAATGAGCTGAAACTAGTGACCAGTTCACTCCATTTGATCAGAAAATTCTGAGCAGCTCACTTCTGTGAAACTGGCGCCGATGACCGGTTCAGCTGAGTTGAATTGGAATTGTGAACCAATTCTTCCAAGCAGTACGACTGAACTTGGACTGTTCCTGCTCCGATGAGAGCGGATACTTACTTCCACGATTAATTGAGTCTGGGTTCCCAAATACGAAACAAAAGTGTTCTTTTATGGCACGAATCAGCTCTAAAATTAGAATACTTCTGACTCAGTATTGGAAACTTGAGTTTAACTAGTGATGAATCTGAGGATCGATCCTTATGAGAAAATGACAGTTCGAGCTCAGTTGACCTGGTTGGAAGAGCTGGCGTCTGGTTTCAGCTCATATGAAATCAGCTTGTTATGAATTGCAGCACCTATTTGAACTTGACCTGTTGCTAATAGTTCCAGTTCAGAGAACTTATATAAAACTGTCTCATATCTAATTGCAATGCAAATAGAGAGTTAATCCTATCCAGCCACAGAACAAGTACTCGCAAGCTGTCATATTTTATTTTGCTTTGTGCAAGTACAGAAGTATCTTGACGCCTTGCTGACTGTCTCTACATTGTATTTTGCATTACTTACCATATTTCTCAACCTTTTACACGGCATATATTACATTTTTTACTTTCTACACGCATATGTGAACAATACAGTGGTGATCAAATAAAGCGACTAAACAATTCTCATAAATAGTAATATATGTTGAGAGATTATGAAAATCGTCTGAAGATCTCAGATGGTAACAGAATAGTCTGCAATGACAAACGTGCTATGTGACTGGATGCATGATCAACCTTGGTCGTGCACAATTTCGAGTGGAGAATGCATCATTCTTTATTTTTGTCACTCACATTACTTAAGTAAGTAGCTATCCATGTACAGGACGTTCAAGCTTTCTATCCACCGATCTCTATATGTTCGTCTCACATTTCGACGATTACTCTCTGACTTTTGATTTTCGAGATGATTGCGATAGAAAATACGAATTCTCGTTTCGTGTCTTGATAGAAGAAGCAAGCGAAAAAAAACTCGAGAAAGGCTACATGAATCCTGTGCTTCACACTGCATTCATAAGAGAAAACACTTGGTACGATTATGCTAATGTTTTGCTTCGCATCGCATTAAATACCAATATCTCATTAAAAAATGAATAATCATTTTTACGGTTGAATACATAATGCTTTCGTTCAAACGATGTTAACCTTTTAGTGGAATAATTTCTTTTTCTGTCGCTGTAAATCGCAAAATTGACGTTGTCATCCAGCAGCTCATCAAAGTGAGAAAGAAAGTGAAAGGTTGTCATTGCGAAACACATTACTAAGAGAACTCATTTAAGAAGTATTAGCATGTTTCTAATGATACCTATAGTTTGATTGCTTAGTTCTTGCTTTGATACATTGCGTCTCATCAGCTCCATTTACAATTGTTATATCTAAAATCAATTATTCAAAGGGAGGTGCAGCTAACATTTGTTGCTATCTTCATTTTAATTATGTTGAAGATTAAAAATTACAAAGTTCAGAAAAATTCGTTTTAATAGATAGCTTTAAGAAAGAAAATAGAACGTCGTACTTGTGATCAATAAACTGATAATATCGATTCGATTTCGATATGTTGATCTAAAATTTTAACGAATATTTTTTGATTTTTGATTATCCATACGAATATTACGCAAAACATGATCTTTCGACACACATATTAATTAGGAGAAACAATGGAAGAAAAAAAATTGGGAAGGGCTAGATAAATGCTGTGATTCGCACAGCATTAAAAGAAGCAAACGAAGAACGACAACTCGGTTGCTTTCTATGGAGCAAGCCAATTTTATCAGTTAATCTTCTGTGAGGGATAAAGAAAAGATTAGTCTCTATTCTCTGTAGAAATTAGACAATGACTACTCCATAAATACGTCATTCATTTGTTGATAAAACTGAAAGAAATTTTGGTAATTGATTATTCATGAAATCATCTATGCATATTTTTCAGGCTCCGAATGAAATGTAGAATTGCTTGCTCTTTGATGACTAGAGACTCATACTACTAGATGAGATTTACATCCTCGAAGCCGTACCTAGCTAGAAATCTTGAAATTAATCTTGCTTCAAGTGATCGCGACTTTTTCAATGATAAAGTGTGTGATGAAAACTTTAATGTCGGTAATGCTTATCAAATTAAAGGATAGTAGAATAAAAAGGGCAAATATCGAAGCACAAAATTATATCGCAAATAGAAATTTACGACTAAACGTTGTGTGACAAATTTGAATTTTACTCTTAAGAATCAGATATTTGGATAGCTCTAGTTGTTCGCATTGCGTCATGTAAACATTTTTTAATTTCATCAACGAATATCGATGGTTGAATCTTAATATGGAACGACGTCAAGTCGTCAAGTCGTCAAGACTATTTGCTGTTCTATTCTTTGCTAGGTTGATATCGTCATCAGTTGACGATGACTTATTGCTTTTCGTCGCAAAGCTTTTCCATCGAAAATAATTTTTGCCGTAAGACATTCCCTAAAAGACATTGGTGGCGACAAACGAATAGTGTACACATAGACTGAACCACATTTCCCTTTAGTTTCGACAAATACTATCTGAACTCAAAGGCGTCGTAATAATCAGCGAGCTTCACAACTGTTTTTGGTAAAATAATTTTCGATGAAACTTATTTTCGACAGAAAGTCGTTTGACAAAGAGTAACCAATTTTGTCAAGACAGATTTATAGCAGACCTATGTAGTTCTTGTGATTGATTGTATTGGAAAGTAGTCACGTTTACCAATCATTGTCCGTACTATCTTTAGCTACGTTGAATTTCAATTTTCAATGATAGTAAGTCTAATTGAGGATGTGAATATTCTCTTCATCTATACCAACACCGATACCCACAACCATCCGCACGAGTGCTTGCAATAGCAGATATTTCAAGTAGAAGTAAAATATACATAACATCTACTGTTTTTGATGTATACACTGTTTTACACGTTATTCAGAAAAAACAAACTATAAGTAGTATACTTTGCTGAAGAAACTTACATTTTGATATCTGTACCTGCAAAAGAAGTATGTAGTATTAAATTAAACTCCATGTCTAGATAGATTATAGTAGATTGTGACCTCTTTCGGTTAATATTATCATTAGCTATATATAGCTTCTGTTCTTTCTCGAGCTCTGTTTATATACATCACTGTTTTCAATTCCAATATGAAACATACATGACTGGCTCTAGTCCTAATTCGAGCTTTTGCTTTTTATACCAATGTTCATATGGATTTTTTTGTTTCTATTTCTATTCTAGATTTAACTTTTGTGGATAAAACTCAATTAACATTAGATGAATTTTAGGGTAAAAATGAAGCTGCATCAAAACATGTTTTTTCTTTAGTTGAGGAAGAAATTGAAATATTATCATCGATTGGATCTTGATCATCATCAGTTCCATCTTCTTTTTCATCAAGTCCATCTCCATCATTATTACTTGTTGAACAAGAAAAATTAGTTTCGGAAGTGAATGTTATGAATAAAAAATTTATGTGATAAGTTACTCAGTTCTTGATTCGATCATAATTATAATTTATAGAAGAATGGTAAAGTTGGTGAAAAGATGAATTTGACAATTACACGATCTAAACATCGTACTCAGTATTTATCTACTTCGGAAAAATGACCTGAAGTACAATATAAAACATATGTTGTCGATAGTTTTAGTACATGAATTGAAAGATTTACTTGATGATTGTTTTTAAACAATTCAATGGGTTGTCATTTTATGTGAATAATATGAAAAAATTTGAAGTTCTAATAGTGAGTCATACTGTTATAGAACAATGTTTTTGTTTTAAAACAATGATACATCTACTATGTTCACTATAATAAAATGTTAATTGTTCTTTTTATACATTTAGTAAAAATTTTTGTAATTTGCAAACTGCCGATTATTCTTGTAGGAAAAGAAAACATTTTCATTTGGTAAAATAAAACTTCATAAAGAGGAGAGCAATGCACATAGGCAAGCCAAAGAACAAGATTTAATCATGTTCTGCAGATCTCAATCTTATCGGCTTCTAATTCAATCAAGATAGCTAAATAAACACGCACAAACTACAAAATCTTATGATGACTTGCATATACTTAGACCAGCAAAATAATTGAATCAGCCGTATTATATCGTTATTTATACCATTAAAGGAGTTATGGATGATGTTGTTGCCAGCAGAAGTTTTCAGTATCAAGTATAGAAATAGGAAGGCTGTATTTTGTTTTATTCAGTATATATCGAGCTACTTTCATGAAGAACTAATTGAAAATTTGAAAGCAAGTCTAGTTGTCGGTATGTTAATGTTAAATCTTTAATCGAAATACCATTTTCATTCTTGTAGGTTGGATGATGAACTAGTCAACAACAAGAACAACTGAAAAAACGCATGTTGTTTATGTTCAATATGTCGAAGATAATGAAGCTACAATTTCTTACCATGGGCTATTGGACTTACAAGGTGATTCTGCTGTCAAAGATATCGTTAAAACTCTTGCTAGCTTATAAGCAAAAGAGAATATAAAAACCATGAAATTCGTGCTGGTTACCCACAGAAAATGCCTCAATATTTAAAGGTGAAAGTCATACTGATTTACTATATGAACTTCGTAAGCATTATGAAAAATTTTTAGGTACAAATAACGATGTAATTGCAAAATGACGTAATCATCCAGTTACTGACAGTTTGGAATCAAGTACGTATGTGACGCCTTCCTTCTCAATTGTTGGTTCTCAATCATAATACAATTAAACAGTAAAAATATCTATTGTTTTCTGCATCAAAATCTGTAGAGTTTAATTTTCTGTCCATTGTAGATAATAAAATGTCTATGTCTGGTTCTATCGTCAAACTCGAATCAATGATCAGTAAAATCTATTACTATTTTACCATGATCTCCAATCTACAATGTAAGCTTCGCAACTTTAATTGAAACAAAATTTTTGATGTTCGATAGTCGTCAATTCGCGACTGTATTAAACTGATAGTAATGAATATTCAACCAGATCTTCATACGTCAAAATATTGTGAAAAGATATTTTTGAATTGATTTTATTTAGAATCTCAAGCATTATTAGGATGTTTACAGAAAGCAATGTCCGATTCTTGTGTATCAAGTGGTGAACATGCATGCGTACAGAAGCTGTTAAACTCAACAACAGATAATAAATTCACTTTTTTAATACATATGCAACATGATGTTCATAAATCTGTACTTGGTAAGTCCATTTACATTTTATGTGTATCATTTATTTTAAGTTTTTTTCAATTGCACGCGGTTTGTTTGTTTTTAAACTCAAATTCAATTACGAAAATCATTTAAAAATGAATATCTTTCTCGTTTGAATTCCTCAATGTTCGATTCGACCCAAGAAAGATGTTATTTCAAATGAATACCTTCAATCTGCACTCGAGTTTTTGCGAAAAAAGTATAAAAGCTTTGTAGACTTTAATTTCACCTATGTTCCCCAATAAATGAGGGTCTCTCAAACTTGGATTAAGTGATTATATAAATAGTCTTCTAACTGATTATCCAGTAAAAGAGTTTTGTAAAAACTTTATTATACTAAAACAGCCAAAGAATAATCTTTTTAGTGATCAGCAGAAGAATGTTCTGCTTTTACTCAACGTATATTCGATTTCACCAACAAATTCAACGGAATGTGAAAGGAGTGCATGCGGAACATTTTATCCTGATAATCTTATATCATATTATCTTAATTTGAATTTTTTAAAATTGTGCTGTCAATCGTATGCAAATAATGGACGATCTTGCTTAATGATCTCGACATGAGATACGTTAATGACCGTACGCATGTTGATAAAAGATGATTTATGAAGGTAAGATAGGGAAGTTCGTTTATTTTTTTTAATATAACATGTAATTATTTTTCTTTAGTTTTAGATGTCAAAAAATGGTTGCTAAAGCATTTGAGTCATGGAATAATCGAGATTACCATTGTCGCCTTCACCAAGTACAAGTTTTAATCGATGTACGTGACAATAATGAATTAATAAAACAAGTTCGATGAAATATTAAAAGAAAATTGTCGTTAATTCATTCAGAAATAATACATATAAGACTAAAAAACTCAAAGGCTAAATCAATATAATGTAAGTCATGGCTCTATATTGCTTGACTATTGTTCGATCTCTTTTTAGATGCTAATCGATGTAAAACTGAAGTATCAGAAGCTGATCCAATGCTGTCATCAAAGTGAACAATATCATTGGATCGAATAAAGTGACAACTGTTCTTGTTGGTTCTACAACGGCTATAGAATTAAATTTAGTATCAATATAGATTCTTTACGGTTCTGTTGCAATGGCAAAGATATGCATGATGACGATGATAATACTCAAGAAATTGACTGTTTTGGTAGTATTGGATTCATAAAAAAAGTAGTTATTAATTCTGTTAAGTTTGTTGTATAAATCCGTGGTTTTCTTCTGTTGTTTTCTTGTGAACACTTCATATGATGAAATTATACGCGTACTTACCCATTATTTATTTATTTAATATCAAATTATATTTCTCATTTAAGAAAAAATGATGAACCTTATATTTTATGCTTTAATTGAAATTTAGAAGTGAAAAATCTTTAATTTATAATACGTAATTTAACTCTTGATGATTGGCTAACTTTTCGTGTCCACTATAAGTTCGTTCAGTGTAATTCAACCCCCTTGTCGCGCGATGAAAGCTCGTGAGCTCAATATTGCAAGCTGGAATTTTGGTGATGACTAAAAATATTGTCAGTTGAAGACTTTCAAGTCCATATTTTTGGATCTATAAAGTCATGGAAATCAATAAAAATGAGAAAATTAGACTAGCTTCAGTATCCTAAAAATCGATAAAAAACTGGTCATAACCGGCAGGTTTTAAAAGTTCCGTCGAACCGTACTCGTGACCGACAAGCCAGCTGATTCGGTTCCAAATTTGCCCCACCCTCACACACAGAAATCCACATCCTTCTTCCTTTGTTCTTACTATTAGTGTATGTGGAATATCATAGAGTAAAATAGAATTAGTCACTGTTGGAAACTCCAAGGGCTATAAGACTTTCACATTGTATACCTTCATGAAGCTGCAGTAATAAAGTTTTTCTCGAAAGAACTCGTTAAGGGATTCATATATTAAACGAATCTGTTTCTTGCAAGCTAAATCTGCGCTGTTTTTTACCGGTTAAGTTAAAAATTTTAATCGATACGTCTCGTTGAGTTGGAGAAAATTCGACTGGTTCCAAGCATGCGATCGTTTATTATATGTTGCCTCTTTAAACTAAACTCTGAAGACTAGAACTAGTACTTAGTCATTGAAAATTTATCTTATTCTGGCTGAAAGTTAGGGGAGGATGTATCATCTTCGGAAGAAAGTCATCAGATATTTTCTGTATTAACATTGAATTCTTTCAAGAAAGCAGTCTCATTCTATTTCTGTTTATTATGTTTCATTAGGACCTAATTGATTGCACTAAGATTCATGGAGAACTTTTTTTTTGTACTTGGTTTGTACATAATTATTAGATCCTCTATCTTGATGGAATCAGCACTTATCCTAGTGTTTGGAAAAAGAAGGCACACGTGTTTGTGATCGAATATTTGTGTAAACAAGGAAATGAAAATAGCTTTTGATTATGTTGAAAACAGTGGTAGAATTATTCCACACAAAAATAAGAGAGTCAATAGTAAATATAAAAATGAATCGGCGAAAAATTGAAATATTAAATGACTTTAAGCATTTATGGTCTACCTGTATAACAAATAAGCTATTTTGGAAACCAACAATTGATAAATGCAACGTAAACATTCAGAGATCCCTAAGAAAGCTTAGATGACTAAAAATAAAGCAATTCATTTCCATTAAAGCTCTTATAGACAGTGCTTTTTCCTCATACATTTCCTTATGGCGCATAGTTATTTTCTTCCTTCTTTCTCCTTACTTTTAGGATGGTAGCAACGCTTGCTTCGACAGAAATTTCACGTTGATTTTTTGCTGGTACTTCGTTACTCTTTCATCTCGACTCATAATCTCTGCCCTACCACTAACAAGCATTCCTTAGATGTTTACGTTAAATGCTACATTCAACGAGAGTTGAAATGCGTTCACACAATAGACTATAGTTTTTCTTCTTTCTATGGTCATGTTTTTCTTTGAAACAATTTTCATTAAAGAAAGAAAGGTCATCCTGGTCAGTTTTTCGCGTTACTGGTATAAAAAATTTGATAGATAAGCATAAATCACTTCTCTTGACATGTATATTTTTTATCGAAGCACAATAGATCTATACAAAGAGAAAAATACACTGTAATCTTCTTTCGTTCCTTTTATTTGTTCTTTTTTTCTTCTATTCTCTTTTTCATTTTCTTTTATGTTTGCTGAATTATTTGCTTAATGCATCTTCTTTGTCCCTTTTTTTCCTTTCTTTTTCTATTATCCCCATCATTGTGAAATTTAAACTCATCACACCTATGTCTATATCAATGCATGCATCATCCTCGTATATTTGTGATGTTGTTTTTAGTTTCAACTCCTATATTCATAAGACTTCGTAGAACTGCGATAGACTTCATGAAAATTTAAAAGGCTTTACGAGACTTCTAGATTTCGTGAAATTTCAAGACTGAAGTGTCTGCTGTTTCCTCTTCGTATAATTTATTCTTATGTATTTTGAATATATGTAAGTACTTCGGAGTGTTATATGTGAAACTATCAATAAAAAAAATAAAAGTATCGTTCATCTTCCCCACACTATTTATTGTGCAACAGTTTCGTGAGGTCAGAACCGTACGTAACACGTAATACAGAGATAGAGAGAAAATAGCTGTGAATAGTGATTAATCTAGAGTTTCGCTGAGAACTATGACAGATAATGTGCTGAAAACGATTCAAGATGTACACAATTCTACATACAAGTAATTCTTTTTTCGTGTATTTTATATATGCTTCGATAGAGCGCGAGTACCTCATTACGGAAAAGCTTTTTTAGGTCGAAAAATTTTAAAAAGATGATGGGGACCGTTTTTTATAGAGAAAAAACACTCTTTTTCAAAACATGCAAAATTTTCTATTTTCTTTTTTCCAATTTATGAAAGTATTTTTTTCAAATGCAGCGTTAGAAACTCAGTAAAAAGATTATGTTAAATCGACTGCAATTGGAAAGGTATTTAGATAGTGACGATCTGATTTTCATCCAATGGAATGCTTATCAGCCATTTTTGTAAGCTAAAGGGTACGAGTGTTAATGAAGAAAAGACGTACATTCACAGAACACCCACACCCAGATAAGCATTCTATTGGGTGCTAACCAGCCGTTACCAATCCAATACTTTTCAAGTTACAGTTGATTTAACATTATCTTTTTACTCAGTTTTTCAACCTGCATTCAAAAAAAAAATTCATAAAGATATGTGTATAGAAAAGACAATTACAGAACCATTCTCACCTGCATACACACATACGCACAAAATTTTGTTTAATTAATCAGTCATATGCTAAGTTTTTAAGGCAAAACTCAGGCTCAACTATTAAAAACGCTTCTATTAAATCTAAACTAGATCCAGTTTTTCAAGATGATCAAGACGAAAAAATATCAACGAACACCAGTAATAATACATATCAATAGCACAACTATTTTATGAACGTGTAGAACTCGCAAACTTAGATGCTAAACTTCTCAATGCGTGGAGGATCGAAAATAGATGAAATGCACTGAAAGAAAAAGTTTGTGGTAACGTGTTTGATATACCATTGCAATAGCAAAAATAGACCGAAAAAGAATGGAAAAAATTCTCAAAAGTAAAAATGTGCAAAAATGAAGGAAGAAATACCTTCTCGTTCCTAGTATGTCATTGATAATAATGGAGAATTTATCAATAGACGTTAAATTTATAGTATAGTTTTGTGTCTTTGAAAGAACTCGAGTTGTTGTTGTTTCTTATCAACTAATTATAAATACTACTAATCAAGAAGTAGGGATGTCGCCGAAATAAATTGCAAAAATTCATGAAATTCGATGCCGCTCGTGCATCTCTTCTTTATGCATAATTAGAGAGCTGAAACCTAGAAAAAGTTTACAATCTCACTTCAATGTGTAATTCATAAAAAATTCAGCTTTTCACGTCGAGACAAAGTATTTGAAATGTCATTGATAGTTTATCCTCAGTTATTATGAGATGCTCTTTATAGTAAATTGAATTTGTCATTCACTTTTTTTGATCTTTTCAAAATACAAGAAGCTTATGTTTCGCGCACATTGATCAAAGAATAGTAAATATCATTATTAGCCTATCCAAACATAAGTGCATATTGATTTAAAACGAAATAGTCGTTTGTGTTTAATCCAACTGTGGCATTTAACTAAGATACGTTGCTTATATCACGTTTTCTTTGACGTTCTAAATATAAACTTATTGCAATTCATTTCATGAGCCTTCATAATATTTATTGGCAAAACAGGTGAGCATGTAGACGATTGCTTTTGAAAGTTAAAACCAAATTTCTTTGCCAACAAGTGAAAAAAAACCATGTATTGTTTTCCTGCTAATGCTTATACGCTTTTTCTACCAATATTCGCTTTTTATCACCTATTGAGAGCTGAACTATAAGTGCAACTAAAATTTACAAGAAAAGTTCCTTATTTTGTCGGATGTTTTTAACAAAAACACATTTACACTTCTCCTGATACGATTCTTTGAATATTTGCAAGACGAAATCGTTGTATTGGTGAATGAAAAATTTTGAAATCATAAAAGGTCGATCGAATGATTTCAATATATGAAGAAGGTTTTGTAATAGATATAATTTATTACGTTAACAGAGATAATTTAGAGATAGATATGAAGATGCATTCTGAAATACCAGGAGAGATCTCAACAACAGAAAGACTAAGTGATTTTTATAAGGTATGCTCGACCAGTAATATTCCTCCAGCGAAATATTATTTGGCACTTTATGACTCGATATAAAATCAATCACATCGTGCCGAAGATATATATATATAATAGGCTTTATGAATTTTCAAACCATTTTATGAATTTATTTTGCTTTTGAAAATCCACATATTCAGCAGTCGTGATTGTTTCCTAGAGATACTAGAATTAATGGTAGTGTAGGAGAGAATAGAAAGTAAGAAAGATAATGACATACGTATCTACAACATTCAGACACATGTCTCGTCTTCATGCCTCCAACATTATCATTATCTCCTATACATCCAAGACTTCCCCCTTGTACACATTATATACTCATTACCACCCACATCTCCTTTACTTCGTATATATACCGGGTGTAGCATAAAGATTGCAATATTTGGTACTTTCCAAATATCTCACCACAAATAAATCTTATAATCTTGATTCTTTTTTTCAAAAGATGCACTGTGAAATTTTCTACAAGAATGTTAGTGAAAAATCCTATTGGGTCAGTGTCATGCTTTTTTATAAGACCAAAAATGAAGCACTGTGTAATGGTGAAATGTTCCATTATTCTAAATGAAAACAGTATTGATTATTTTGTATATATTATCAATAACAAATCATGAAATCTTAAATTAGTTTTTTTTATTAATTCATGGTAGACATTTATGAGTCTGAAATTTTCTTCATCATCGTTAACCACAAAACTCGTTGGTATAAGTCCTGATGTATGAAAGGATTTACAGTTAAAAGGCATATTATTACTTAAGAAAATATCATGATAACAGTGCGATATTGAAATATAATTAGAGAAATCGTAGATCTACATATAGGAAAAGCTAGTAAATATTCCCACATATATATACATCTATCATTGTCTGAATTGCAATGGCAGAATATAGTCTTATGTTCGTTATAATGATGACGCATAGATAATCGTGATCTGTAGTTTTTATTTTCGTTAACCATCGAACACTATCCTTGTCTATTTATTGATGTTGAATATTGATCAACACATGGTTATCAGCACATTAGAATACAATAAATTGTTTCCTTTCAAAATGTATTCATCAGTAGATGTGTCATCGGATTTAGTTCCGAAAACAGAATAAGCAGTATCAGATTTCGATTCATCATTCTGAGAAATATTCTTATCAGAATCTTCAGTATCATTAGTGATAGAGACCTCCTGAACTCTTTCAAATTTTGTTAAGCGATCACTTTTTATCTTTAAATTAGAGAAATGTAAGAGTTTCCATGACTGGACAATTTTTGAAGACTTCAGACTCAATTTATTTCCAAAGAAGAACCAAAGAGAATGGTCATTACTGACAGAAGTCTGAGAGAGATGCTTTGATCGAAATATGTCAGTAGCTTTGAGGCAAAGATGAAAATAGAAACATGAGTTAAGGTTAGCGATGACAAACTAACAAATCTGCTGAAAAATAAACTATCGAGATGATAGAAAGCAGCTTTAAAAAAAGCAGAAACCTATGTATATAACACTAATATTGTTATGGGATCTGTTATGGATTTTTTCTCCAATATGTTGCCTGCAAGATCTATTTACAAAACGTGATCTAGATCTTGTGTATTAACTAACTATCAGAAAAGAAGATCCGTCGGAAAAAGATAAGCATTAAAGCGATAGAAAATGAAAACTTTGATGTCAGTCCGACTGAATTCACGAGCAGCATTCCAGAGTTAATGGTTTATTTTTTCTTTGCTTTCATAATGACATATAAAAAACACAGATTTTTAAAAATTTTCAATGTTATCTTGTTTTTTCATTGTGTTACGTGTCTTGGTTTCCCAGAGAATGTGTATATAGTATAAGTGAAACTATTCTTGAGTACTTAATTAATTATATCGTTACATCATTTGCGAGAAAATATGTGTTATTTTATTGCAGTAAGTAAAACAGCGATTGGCAAGAATGTCAATTAGGTCCGTAAGCAAAACTGATCAACATATAAACCAATTACCGAGGGTATCCTATGGCGAAATTCATCAACATCATCATGATCATACAAAAGTTCATTATGGAAAACCATACTTTGCTGTATTCTTGGCAGCCTTTACTTCACTGGGTGGATGGTTTTTCGGTTATGATCAAGGCGTTACCGGTGGTATCGTTGTCATGCGCTCATTTAAAAATGATTTTTGTGTTGGTGTGTATGGTAATGCAAGTGTTTGTAACCTCGCAGTAGCTGCTTTACCTTCCGAATATAGACGATTTTTGGTACTTTTTACGTTATTATACAACGTTGGATGCTTTCTCGGTGCTGTGTTTATTACTTCATTTGTGGCAGAAAGATATGGACGTCGAGCTATTATTTTCACATCGGCAATTCTTTTTTTAATTGGAACCTCGATGGTTATTTTCCCGCCAGGAGGTTCCAAAAAGATCATGATTTTGATACTTATTGGGCGAGTTGTCGAAGGTACTGGTGTTGGTTGTTCTTCATTTTCCTGTCCTTTATATGCTTCAGAAATAGCTCCAACGAATCTACGTGGAATGCTTTCTGGCTTTATGCAAATGACTGTAGTCATTGGGTTGTTTGTTGCTAATATAGTAAATATTTTACTACAAAATCATAGATTGGGCTGGCGATTATCAAATGGCATTATTTTAATCGCTCCAGTTATAATTATGATTGGCATATTTTTTTGTCCTGAAACTCCTCGATGGTTGTACAAGAAAAAAGGTCGTGAACTAGCCGAAAAAAGTTTAAAGCGTATTCGTAGAATAGACAATGTAACTGCTGAGTTAGATGCTATTTCTGATGCCATAGAAGAAGAAGGTGCTCAAGTTTCAATGAAAGAACTATTTGCAAAAAAAAAAATGCTCGAAAGACTTGGTGTTGGTATAGCCATACATATTTTACAGCAGGCAACGGGTATTAATCCTATATTTACATATGGTGGTATTATTTATGAAAGTGTTCTTCGAAATGGCATCATATCATTATTGATTTTGTCTGGTACAAACTTACTAAGTACAATACCAGCTCTATTCTTGGTCGATAGACTAGGGCGTCGAAAGCTTCTCATAGTTGGTGGTCTAGCTATGGTAATTGGTCATCTTGTAGCAGCAACAATATTTGTTACAGGTTGTGCAGTAGATAAAGGTACTATCAATGGAACTGCAGCAAGTACAGAACATGTGCATTGTAAAACGAGTTCTGGTATACTGATGCTTGTCGCTACAGCTGTTTTTGTAGCTTTTTTTGCGCTTTCTTGGGGACCGATCGCCTGGATTTATGCAGCTGAGATTTATCCTCTTAATGTTCGAGCCAGAGCTATTTCAATAACGACAGGAAGCAACTGGTTTATGGGTACGATTATGTCTTACATATTAGAATTAATAACACCAATAGGATATCATGGAGTCTTTTATCTTTTCAGTGGTCTGACTTTATTAGCTGTAATTTTCGTATATCTCTTTTGTCCGGAAACAAGAGGAGTTTTATTAGAAGATATTGAAGACGAGTTTGATAATTTTCAATTGAAGAATAGAACAGTAGTAAAACTATGCAGATCATGTCATGGGAAAAGAAAAACGATTCAAGTGAACACTATTGAAATGCGATCATAATGTGTTTGTAAAAAGGGAATTAGCGTCTATACTCCTTCATCCACTTTTTTCTTTTTATTGTTTTTTTTCTGGTGGTCAGTGTGGCACTATGAAAATACTAAACCAAATCATGAATATTTTTATTTTTAGTAAAAAGTCAACAAAAATTACTTTCATGTAGAAAATACTTAATACTATGTATTTCGAGATTTTGATTGATTAAAAGTTGGCTTTTATGCACAATAACTATAATAAATCAACATCAGCATGAAAAAATACACCAAAGACTTAGTTTCTCATTGTATGATATTTTTCATCAAAATTTTAACGATGCATTCTCAGTTTTTCACCTCTTAGCCTCTTTTTCCTAGGTTTCCTCTAGTTAAAATTTAGATGGAAAATATTCTACGTTTAAAATAATGTTTTCTGGTGTATTTTTTCATGTTGGTTCCGATTATTATGGTTGTTTCACCCAAAAAAAACAACTTTTAATAATCAAAATCTTGAAATGTTGTCCAGTTTTTGGTATTTTCTATATAAAAGTGATCCTTATTTTCTTCTTGCTAAAACAAAAACTGTTCGAGATCTGGTTTTAGTGCTTTCATATCGTCACATTGACCACAACAAAAAAATAGACAAAGTGATATATTCAATGGAAAAACGCGACTTCTTTTTCTCTTTTGTTCAAGTTTTTTTAATGTGAACTTAGCGTACTTTTTTATTTGCTATAATTTTTTTGTTCATTTACATAATATCAAATAAATACGTAGATTTAGTGAAACTTGATTTTTTATACAAACGGAGTCTATTGGACACGATTTGCGCCTTTTATGGAATGGAATGAACAGAATTTGTGTAGAATAAGTTGCTTAGTCATACTTTGTATTTTTTACATAATGATGAAGCGTTAGTAGAATATTTAATATTATTACACATATGTATCCTAGAATGCAAAAATTTCTGGCACAGATGATTTTTTTTCATTAAATTTATTATACCGTTAAAGATTTAGAGGTTCACGAAAAAGAAGAAAAGAAGAAACTCAAACAAACATTCTATCAACAGATTGATTCTTTACATAGGTAGATAGTAGAAAATAATTTCTATATTTAGCAACATCCCCAAAATAGATATGATACAAGAGGAACAAAATAAAGACAGCAATCAAGCAGCAATACAGTGTTTATAATTTCATACGTTCGTTCTTCGAATTTGTTCTTTAGCATCTAATCGTATTTCTTCAATGTGGTTAGTTTATTCAGGTCTTTATGAAATCGGCAAAAAATAAAAGAAATAAAAGAAACAAAAGAATTCATCTACTACTTTTTTATTTGTTTTATTATGTTACAATTGCAATGTGCATTGGACTTTATTTCGGTTCAATAGAGCTGTATTGCGGTTCTGATAGATCAAGAAGGGTGTGAGTGTGGGATGTACACGCTGTTCATTCTTCACATATCCACATCTACTCTACCTTTCTTCTAAATAAAATCATTCTATCAAAGCAACGAACCGAATGAATCAAATCGTAATTCGCATCTGTTTACATGAATCTCATGTCACCTCTTTTTTTAGTAACTGCGATCGTACTGTGACTCATAATTGCGAAAAATTGCGACGCAGTTACACGTAGTTACGATGAAAACATCGCAATTGCATGTAACTGCACTTTTTCTATCGTAACTACGCGTGACTATGATTTTATTTTCATAACTATGTTGTAACTGCATTGCAGTTCGATCGTAATCGAACGCATGTCATGCACAATTTTATAAAAATTATTTTTCTTTCTCGTTGTTCAAACAATCTTATGAAGATTGTATGAATATTGATGAATATCTTCTTCTGAATAAATGACACATTATATTTTTTTTGAATTGCTTTCAAAAGCCTATCATTTGAAAACGGTGTGTGACCAGTTCTTTTTTCTCGTTCATTTATTGATGATTATAAGTGTTATCTTTTTCTTTTTTGCAGTAAGCGTACTACACATTAGATTCACACCATATCTAATCTTTATTTTTGTCGTTTTCTTTTTTATTAATTGCATAAAATAATTATGACAAGTTCGAAAAGAAGTAAATTGCCTTGTGCAACATGTGGTAAAGCAATAGGCATATTTACATGTCGAAGATGTAAAAAAGATTTTTGTTCTCGACATTCTATTGAACATCGACAAACATTGGGTAAACAAATGGACGAGATAATTGTTGATCATGATCAACTTCAACAAAATCTTGTTGATGGTACAAAAGAACCTCGTCGTTATCCAATAATAAAACAGATGGATGATTGAGAACGACAATCCATGAGTACAATTCGTCAAGTAGCAGAAGAAGCTCGAAAATTAGTGGTAAATAATCTAAATAAACATAAGAATAAAATAACGGAAAATATAGCTTATCTTACACGACAATTAAATAAAGCTCGTCAAGACGACGATTTTGATGAAAGAGATTTAAAGGAATGACTACAAAAATTGAACCAATTAAAAAGTGATTTAGCCTTATCAGATATGATTAATATTCGACATAGTCATGATACATTAATCACTCGACTAGTAGTTAGCATAACTCCAACAGAAGTTTTTGGGCAAGTTGCTGGTCCTATTCATATTGAGGATAATGGTCAGATAATTGTACATGGCCAACCTGGAACTCATGGAACAGCTCGTAGTGTAAAGGAGAGTATTCAATGAGAAAAAGTCGATTTCATTTTAATATTGAACAGTTATCAGAGAAAAAATGGGCCTTTTTTGGAATTGTGTCGAAAAATGTACCTATTCAACGAAATTCACGTACTACTCTAACAATTCATGGATAGGGTGGAGAAAATAGCGTTTATCTCAATGGTAAAATATATAATGGTTATAATGGATATAAAAGTGATATGGAAGTAAACGGTATATTCGAATTATTGATCGATGTTGATCAATATAGAATTCAACTGACAAATGAATGAACACAGAGTATCTATGATCTTAATGTTGACGTTGCTAAATGTTCATTACTATGGCAATTCAATCTTCGTCTTATGTGTCCAGACGATCATATTCGTATCTTAGCATGACTATATAATATCATAATCTTGTCTTATTTTCTATTTCTTTATTGTACAGTTAATTAACAGAACTTTTTTTCTAGCAACTACAGAATCATTTCCATCCTTTTATAGATAGTTTGAAATCAGTGAGTTATGTTGAAAACAATGCTTAGCAGGGTAAAAAACTGAGTCTTCAATTTTGCTACTATCTTATTCTCATATTTTTTTTTTCGTTTACCCCAATTTAAGACAGTGTACAGAATGCCCTCAACCAACCTAAATAAACATCGTTTGTTTTAAAGAATTGCACGAAAATGAATCATACTAATAATGAATATGCTTATCAATATCATATTCATATTATAAAAGATAAATTAAATGCAGGTCGGGCAATTCAATATGATTCGTTGAAGTAAAGAGTCAATGATAATGACGCGAAAAGTCTTATGACGTAAATTTTTTATGTGAAAGAATAAACGAACGTATGAAAGCAAAGAATAGAGATAAAGTAACTGAGTGCATGGTATTACTATTTGCGCGGTGAAAGAAAGAAAGAAAGAAAGAAGGCTATTGAAAAAAGAGAAGAGAACTACATGCATAAAAATGTGGTGATATATACATTGATAGATGATTTTATGTTTTTTTATTCGATTGCAATTTAAGAATCAAACATATCACAATAGCATTTACCTACTGAAAGATCCTCTTTAATGAAATCAATTCGTTGTGTAATATAGAATTATTTTTATTACAAGAATAAATAGATATCTTCATTTCTTTATTTCTCTATGACATTAAACAAGAAGACGCCTTTATTTAAGTCAACGGTTACAAAAACATATTATCAATTATTATAGGCGAGTATATGTAATAAAAAAAAAAGAAATAATGTTTGTTTCACATGAAGCATTGCCGTTATTCTTTATTAACTCTTTGGCTCCCGGATTTTTTTGCGAAAATCAAAACTTATAAAAGTAAGATTTAAATATAATTTTTATTTTTTCACAAAGAGGTTATATTTCTATGTTCAAAAAAAAACCATTAATAGTTCACCTTTGTACGATAGTCTTTGAAGCAATCAACAATATATATGAGTACATTGAAGTCAGGAGATATACATCGTGTATCGCGTCGAAGATCCTAGAATATAGATGAGTAAAAATATCAAGGAGAAAGGAAAGAAAGAAGAAATATACCACTATGGCACCATCTAACAAACAATAAGAAGCTTTTCTAAACAATTAAAACATATACTACTGCGACCTTTATCTGATAAATACATTTGAACACATATATGTGCGGCCGAGAGCGAAAGAGTTAAAACCTTTAAATTTTTATTAACCCTTTCGCTTCCGGCAATACATATATGTGTCCAAATGTATTTATCAAACAAAGGCCGCAGTAGTACATGTTTTAACTGTTTAGAAAAGTTTCTTATCGTTTGTTAGATGCTGCCATAGTGATATATTTCTTCTTTCTTTCCTTTCTCCTTGATATTTTTACTCATCTATATTCTATGATCTTCGACGCAATACACGATGTATACCTCCTGACTTCAATGTACTCATATATATTGTTGATTGCTTCAAAGACTATCATACAAAGGTGAACTATTAATGGTTTTTTTTTAAACATAGAAATATAATCTCTTTGTAGAAAAATAAAAATTATATTTAAATTTTACTTTTAAAAGTTTTGATTTTCGCAAAAAAAAACCGGAAGCTAAAGGGTGTATTAAGTAATAGATTACGTATTCGTTTTCAATATTGTATTTGAGAGTGTTGGCACAAAAAATATTTAATCATTTTTTGCTGACATCATATTTGAAAGCATGTATTTTTTTATTGCTACAAGTCTTTCGTTATAAAAATCGGTTAAAGCACTCCTTTGAGCAGACTTAAAACATGAAACATGATAGAGCTAGTGCCATTGTAAAAGAAGAAATTTACCAATACAGAATTCGATTTATGATTTACTACCTACTATTAATGCATATTAATTATAAAAGATGATATCCGTAATATATTATAGTTGATGAGTGCGAATGACAAGGGATAGCTGGCTTAAATTCAATTGTGTTTCATACTAATATTGCAGTAGACTTCAGTCTCATCGGATATGTCTGTCATGATCCATGAGAAGGGAACGACAATACTACAGTATCTGCCACAGTCTGCAGCAAATGAGAGATGTTGCTAAAGTATCTGTCAAGTTCTATGAAGAAGAAAAAGCAAGCGTTGTTTAGATGTCTGTCATGTCTGGAGAGGAAGAATCTGAATGTCTAACCCTATACTTCAACGCTTCTTTGAGATTGTCTTTTACACAATCTTTAAGAAAAAAGAGAAGATCTTTCTAAATCTGGAATATTATATATACATAGAAACATAAAATAATAGTTTGAGTCGATCACGTCTCGTTTCGTCGAAATCTGTTTGATTAGATTTTTTTAAACATACTTGTCAAATATAATGTTTAATAATTTTGAATAATTTTTTCAAAAAATTTATTAGAGAAAAGTATTAGGTACGCATACAGACGATATTAAAGAAGAAAACATGTGCAGAAAAACAAAAAAATTAATATTTTTTTATACCAATTAATCGCATAACTTTTTAAAGGTATTCTTCTAATGTTAATGTTTGATGTTTAGGGTGCGTGTGAGTGTGAAAGTGGATGTGGGTTTGAGCAAACAGAATACCCACGCCACACCCTTTCAACCACTTTCTTTATAAAAAAAAAATTTTTCAAGACAATTGAATCAATTAAGCTAGTTGCTTTGATCCTGCTTTTTTCATTTCGGCTTAATTTTTCGACGAAACGAGAACAGTCCTCATTTTATTTTTAACGAAACAGGAAAATCAATTAACGTTTCGATGAAACGAGAATTCACCGTTTGAATCATGTTAACCGACGCATTACACTATTTGAATGTGTTTATCCAAATATCATTTGAGTCGTAAAATTTTTGTAAGTTTATTTGTTTTGAGTCACGATTGCCATGTTCTATTTTTAGAAACATTTTTCTTTTCCGTATTAATCATATATCATTTACTCATATTCATTTCGATGTTAAATTTTATCGAGTTATAAGAAATTCATTTATTTTATTTCATCATGTATATTTCATGACAGAATCTAATCGTTTTTCTTTGATATTCGGATTGGATTAAAGCACTTATCAATCTTGTATTCTTAAGTGAGAGAGATAAATATAGCAGAGATAATCAACACACATAAATACACTTCAATAAAGAAAAAGACAGAATAACAACATTAAATCAATCGTCATTTTACGTTCTTCGATATCTTTTTTTCTCAATTATGTATTTCATTTATTTTTCTAAGTAACTAACAAGAAAAAAAAAATAATCTAAGCTACCAGACTTTATTTTTAATACAAAATAGGTTCAAATCTAAGGAATGAATACAATCAAAATATTAATAAAAACGAAAGATACTCTTTCATACTTCGAAAGATTTTTCTTATTCTAGAACTTATCTATTTTTAGTATAAACAAATGTCTTCTGGAAAATCTGGAATATCTCGTATATGGAAACTTTATTCATCTCAAGAAAAACGAAATATTATTATTTATATCGTTGGTATCATGCTTTATAAATTTGGTGTAGAAGCATATAATGGATCGATTGTTACTCTTGCAACAAATCGTTATGATCAAGAAGCATTTAATAGAAATTCAACTGCACATACATTTGAAAGAGTTGGATTACTTTCTGGTCTTAATCAAGCATCTCAATGTATTGGTTCTATTCTAGTTGCACCACTTACAAGACGTTGGCCAACACGTACTGTTCTTTCAATATCAATTTTTATTTTTGCAATCTTCAGTGCCATACTTATGATTGTTGATACTGCAACTGGTGGTCATATAAAACCAAAAGATTTTGTACAAATAAATGAACATGATTATAGATATTACGGTAAATATAATACAAATGGAATAATACCAATCTATTGTATTACTGGTATAGCTTTTGGAATGGTTGAATTAATTCGACGAATTATACCAAGAGATATTGTTGGTGATGATGGTGAAAAATTACAAAAAATGGATGCAGTTGTTCATATTTTTTATGAAATAGCAGGCGTTAGTGGAGCATTTGCAACTGGTCTTGGTTTAATTCCTCATCTTGGAAATAATTATTCATTTATAATTACACCAATACTTTTTACAGCAGCTGCTATTGTTTGGCTTTTTATTAGTTCTCTTGGATTAGCAAACAATAATAATA